CAGGTTTGTGTTCATGCAACCCCCCCCCCCCCCCATTTAAGCATGTATGTACTATGCATGTACATTATTTGCATAACCCTTTTCTTTTTTCTAATACTTGGTACTCCCTATTTTATAAAACTAGAATCATGTGAATATTTTATTTGTTGACGCCTCCCAGGTTCAATGAAACCTCCAGCCTGTTGTTCATTTCTTGACATCCAAGCAGAGTGTGTTGTATGAAAAGATAGGCATCACAAGGCTCAAAATCATTCACAAAATAATACTCCCTCTGTCTCGAAATCAATTTTACATATCTTCATTTTTGGATGTCTAAAATTCCGCTTTACTTTTCTCCTCTTTCCTTTTCGAGAAATTAAATGCGGACAGCATTACTTTTCCTCTTCCAAATAAATTTCAACCACACACTTTTCAGTTTTTACCAATCTTTCATTAATCACCACTTTTCTTCAAATTACTTAAGTAAATATGTCAAATTGATTGGGAGAGGGAGTAATCAAAATCAAACAAGAAATCGATTGGGAGAGGGAGCATGCATATTATATTTGACCATTAATGACATGTTCTATTCGTTCGTCTTATTTTTAACTGGAGTTTGGATGCAGTAATAAATTTTAATCAAAATTTAGATACTAAAAGCTGAGAATTGATTGTGGAACTTTGAGTTTGGATAACTGAAGTTAAAAGTGAGAGTCCGTTTGGTACATGGAATTGATGGAATTAGAATTGAATTGGAATTAAAATTCTATAGAATTGAATTGGATGAAATTGAATTCTCCAATTCCATTTCATTTTTTGCATTACTAATTCCAAATCCACATATTTTTGTGCTACAAAATATCAGAACTGGAATTGCAGTCTCCCATTCAAATTCCATGACTTGGATTCCGTGTACCAACGGAGCCTGAGAAATGGTTAAAAAAGAATGATATGGATATTAATTTGTACACTCAGAAGACAGCCCATAGTATATAGGAATTGAGAAGTGTTGAAATGATGAGGGGACAAAGACCAGCGAGGAGCATATAGAATTGGTGCAGTGTTATATTTCTGGTGTGAAAGCTTTTGCTATGATCTGTTTTTTGCCTCCTCCGGTCTGAATAATCCAAGACAAAGCCATTATCTTTTGCCCTCCAATAGTTCATACATTGGCTCCCCCACAAGTTCCCTTTGTGCCCGCCGCCCACAAACACGCCCGATGCTACTAATTCCTTTGCCTGTATAGTGGGATAATTATCTCTAAATCATGCACTAAAATTTGACATCGTTACAGATATTTATGGACAATTATTATATGCGTCGCACAAATAGTTGTTATTCATATATGTTTGTGAAATGCATGATTGGCCCGTTTGGCATCAACATTAGATGTTAGCGTTGGCTTTTTAAAAAGGCTATCTGACAGTAGCCTTTCGCGTTAGCGTCTTCAGAATTAATCTACGCCATTAAAATTTTATCCAAAACACTAATGCTGATTGAAAATGTTCTTCCCAAAGAAGGCCAATGTCAAACTCTGATGTCAAAATAGATTTTTTCCGTTATTTTATGTCTGGATTTAGATTTTATGTTCTGTATTATAATAACGTATAGAAAAATTTAAAAAAAAATGATTGATGGGCACATCACGCATGTATGGCGTGCAAAAGCTAGAAAGAAAGAAGAAAAAAAGTTATTGCCAACAAATGCATGTCAACGTTTTATGGAGATTAATCTATGAAAAATTCTACTTGTACCCCATATTTGTATCCCATTTTGTACCCCAAAGCTTTGCCCTGACATTAAAAATATAAGTGCAAAACTTGTATTATGTCAGTGTTGCACATATATTTTATGTCAGGGTAAAGCTTTGAGGTACAAAATAGGATACAATGTGGGGTGAGGGTAGCATGCTCCCTCTGTCCTATGTGTTTCTTCATCTTCTTGTTTTTAACTTACCATAGGTATTAATGTAAAGTGTAAAAGGAAGAGTTTTTCTCATTTTGCCCTTCTTCCTTAAAAAAGAAAAGCAAAACCAAAGAATAAAGCAAACAGCGGCAAAGTACATAATCCTTTCCCATTCATAATCAATACAATCATTACACATAGTCCCAATACGAAATTCATCCACACATGCGGATGATTCACAACATACACAAGAGGAAGAACTTTTCCCTCCATTTATATCATATACAACAACAAAAAATCAAAAAGGGGAGAGAAGGTGACTTTTTGCAGAGGACGGTTACTGCATGTCGCAGGGACTGAAAGTGATTGTAAGGTGCGATTGTACGAGGAGACGGAGTTTTTTAGTTTCTCCATGTAATCTTTAGGAACATCAACGAGTTCGATGTAGGAGGTGGTGGAATCAGGAGGACGAACAACTGAGGTGATATGGTCATAGGAGTCACCAACTTGATTAAAAACATGAACAACAAGATCCTCACCATAGATGGGATTCTTAACAAGGGCCAACTCGTTTTCAATGCAATGTATCTCCTGAAGATCGCCAGCCATGAAACGGTTACCACGAGGATTTTTTCGAGCTTGGATTTGAGATTGACTATGCACCCACGATATGACTAGCAAAGCTAAAGTGGAGACTAAGCTAAGCCTGACGGATGGTGTCAGCATTTGAGATCAGTGGTTGAATAGTGTTAGAGCAACTGCCAAGAAGGGCTCCAACAATAAATTGATCTTGTTGGAACCCTATAAGTGGCAAGGATTGAACGCGCTCTCCATAGCTTGAGGAGGTATCATGAGGGCGCCACCAATGCAAGTAAAATATCAAGAGTGATCAATATAGAACGGGCATGGCGTTGCCATGTTACATAGTTAGATATCCCAAGCTTGAAGGGAAAATGCATTTAGCATAAAGTTGGCTGACATTAGTGTCTTTGGTGAACACAAGGATAAGAGTGGAAGACGACCCCATAGATGGAGCACAAAATGGCGGTGAGATCGGCTACATGAGTCAACAACAAAGCCTTATCCCACTAGGTGAGATTAGCTACATGAGTCAAACGACACCATTTCGCCCTATCATAGTATCATGTATCATATCTGCTGTGAGATTATTCATGCAAAAGTCTCTCTTGGTCACTGTTTGCCAAGTCCTCTTAGGAGACAAAGCGATCTATCTCGGGCATGTCCCTATGCTCCGTGAAAAAATGATAGAGAATTCTTGTAGCACCCGGGTGATTTCGTCACGTAGCTCCTGAGGTAGGCTGGCCCCTATCCTCACAACTTTCTATGGGTTAGCCGGGTGGAGTATGATGTCCTCCGTTTCTGCCTCTTGTTTGATTCACTGCATGAACTCCCCCTTCATCAGCTGCTAGAAATGGTGTTCATCCCCTTGAAGGACTTAGTCATCCTCTTAATAGCTTTGATGTATCATTCACGGGAATTTTTCTAATCGTCCCGAACTTCAACTACACCACCCGAGGTATGGAACTTCATGCATCCTAGGTGGGCCATCGAGATAATGCCTCAAATCTTGTTTGTGCTTGGGCTCCCGAGGATGGCGTTGTGATCACAATAATATGAATAAATTAAAAGATGGGTAAATAATGTCAAATGCTGATAAAAATGTTGTAATAATTTTAACTTTAATTTAGATGAGATCAGTTTAATTAGATTCATTCAGATGATAATGATTTACATCAAATCAATGAGAAGGATTCAAATAGATAGAGTAGATCACATAACACCACATCACAACCACGGCCTTAATGTTGAAGTTGGCAACCCACTACTACATGGAGTTTGATAGAGACATCTTCTATGGAACTTCCATGAACAATCTCAGCTTCCCACGACCTTACAGACTGATGATGGAACACCACCTAGTGTTGTTTTTCTGGTACGAGGGCAATATGGCAGGGCCGGTCCGGAAATGTGAAAAAAGATTAGATTGGCCATGTGCAAAATTCGATGTGTTGGGCACTATTTTATTTTTTTTCAGAGTACTTGAGCTTTAAAATTAGTGCTGAATTTGATTTTTAATAACTAGTTTGCAATAATTTGAATATTAAAATATTAATTTTTATTAAATTTAAAAATAAGAATTAGAATAATGAAAATTTAATAATATGGGACCCTAAAAATTTTGAGACACTATGCGGGTGGACATCTTACACACCTCCGCCAATGCAATAAAGTCATACTCCCTCTGTCTCTAAATATTTGCAACATTTGCTTTTTTAGCAGTCGCGGGAACTTTTGTTTATTTCTACGTTTTCATTGGTTATTTGATAAAATAAAATATTCTTGACACCTCTTATTTCGAAAACTTTTCATGTAGTTTTTTGATATGTAAATTTTATTTTTTATTTCTATACCAATATATAAATAAAATGAATTGAAAAAGCTTGATATTTTATCTCGGAATACAAGTGTGACAAATATTTAGGGAGGGAGGGAGTAACATCTACCTACACAGTACACAGTAATTCTCTAACATATATAGTACATGCAACTCTCCAATGGTATTTACTCTTTACAATTTCCAGTTCATTTTGGGAACAGATGAAAAATAAGTTCATTTTTAATTATGGGAGCGTCTAAAATGACACCAGTTACTTATACACCAGTTGCTTACACCAGTTCGTTTAGGGTACCTACGGTGCTCCGTTTGTAAAACCGACGGTTCCTACCTCCCTAACCCTCCCCCTAAACCCCCCACCCCAACCCCACCCTTGCCCCCCTACCCCAACCCCCCCTCCCGCCCCCCTCCCTACCCTGGCAGCCAGGCAGTATACTGCCAGGGTAGGGAGGGGGCGAGAGGGGGGGCAGGGGTAGGGGCGCAAGGGTGGGGTTGGGGTGGGGGGTTTAGGGGGAGGGTTAGGGGGGGTAGGAACCGTCAGTTTTACAAACGGAGCACTGTAGGTACCCTAAACGAACTGGTGTAAGCAAATGACACCAGTAGCACTGGTGTCATTTTAAACTTACCGTTTAATTATAGAAGTAATGGAGTATTTAACTTTTTAGTTCGGTAAGTTTTAGTAAAGAAAGAAGATACACTCTGTGCTTATAAATCTTCATTCCCAGTCAAAAAAAAAGAGGCAAACTTTGTACAATTCATGTGACTCAAACAACAGGACAATGAACTTTGACTATATGGAAATTCCAGAAATCACTTTTCAAGAAAATGAGTGAAAAATTATATCCACATCAAGGGCATTTTCGTCCAATCGATATCATATTCCCAGCTCCCTGAAACTTTTCATACCCCTAATAACTTCATTGGAGATAGGGACTATCATATCCCCCCCTGTTCTTGAGATGTACACATAGGGGGATATCCTTGAGAGTGTTGCAAATGTTGAGTCTTGATTCCTTGGGGCCCACAATTTGTCGCGTCAACTATCTGTGATTGATTGAAAAATTTAATAATTATCGATCAATCACATACCGTTGAAACACGTAAGGACGCATACTCTGGCCCGGATTGGCATCCCCATTCACAAAATGGGACATTTTTTTTGCCTCATTCATTTGTTCCCTGCAACACTGAGAATGAATTGGAATCCCCAATCATGGCAGTGAAGTCTTGGGAATTGAAGCTTTGATGGCTCCGTTTCTTGGCTGGACTAATGATCAAATCTTGGGAAGATGATGTGGTTTTGGAAGAAGAAGAGACAATGTGATCTCTAAGGTCCTTGATCATGTTGTACCTCTCCAACTCGTCGTCCTCGCACTCCCTTTTCCAAGAACCGTGCAACGAATGCGGCGAAAACCCGCTTGCGCACTTGTCGTTTTCTTCCTTTCGCGCAACCCCCGCCGCGAACTCCAAAACAATGCCTTCCGAGGTTTGTCTTTCGAGGTATATTGGGCAATGCTTATTAGATCTCCCTATACTATTACTATTATTATTATTGCTAGCCCATTCATAGCTCTTGTGGTTTTCATCCACACATAGCTCAATGGAGTGGAGGTCGCTATCACCACAACCCGAATCATCATCCTCATCATTGTCGTCGTCGTCTTTGTGGGTTTTGGTTTTTGGTCCATTTGAGGGAAGAGTTTCCCTCAAATGCTTCTCGAGAGCCTTGATTCGTTCATAGCTCGGAGACGACTCTTCTTCTTCCACCTCTCCTCCTCCGCGACCGCCTTTTTTGAATCTCAAATACGACTCGAGCTCGCTTTTGAGCTCCTCAACGACGGCGTTTTTCTCCTCGAACTCAAACTTGGCTTCAGAGAGCTTCATTTGCACTCTCTCCTCCCTGAGCACGTCGGCGAGCTGCAGCATTTCCCTCTCCTTGTCAACCTCCTCCCTCACCCTAGCCGCCTCGCGCTTCAACGCCTCCACCTCGGCGCGGTCCTCACTGATGCCGCGCCCAAGCTCGTCGCACACCTGCTCGAGTATCTCCCTCGCCCTCCTCTCGCTCTCGGCCTCCTTCGCCGCCTCAGACAGGGACGCCTTGGCACTCGCCAGCTCCCGCCCCAGGTTCTTGTTCAGCCGCTCGGTCTGCCTCCTCATCCGCTTCTCGCTCTTGAGCTCGCCCACGAGGGACTCCATGGCGCTGTGAACCCTTCTCCTCTCCTTGGCCCTCTCTTCCTCGAACCGTTTCAGGAGGGAGTCGGTCTCCCCTTGGATGGTCTTGGTGACCTGGGCGCTGACCTGGTCAAGCTCGGTCTTGAGAGCAGAGATGAGGGAGAGACACGTGGACTGCTGGTCCGCCATGCCCCAGAATCTGGTTAGAAGTTTGAGGAGCTCTTTTGAGGTTGTCAGGCCACGTCGGACTTCTTTCAACCCATGCCTCGTTTGAGAATGACTCCTCCTCCCCCCATGATTAGTCGTCGTTTCCTGCATATTTATATATATTTGTAAAGGGGAAAAAAGAAAAAGAAAGTTTTTTTTATTTATTTTAAATTTTGTACTCCAACTAATTACAATGGAGAGGAAATTATATGGAAATAAAGGGGGGGTATATAAAAACACAAGTAATTGAATGAATGGAGAGGAGGGGGAGGGGGGCCCAATATAATTCAAAGAGGTACCAAAGTCTGAAATCCTTTCTGTAATGACAAGCGCAAAAAAAGAAACTTGAAGAAGACAACAGAGCATGTCGGAAATAAACATGAGATGTTTGGGGGGGTATGTATGGCTTCGAACTAGAAACAGGAACCACATCCTCTTCACTGTTCTTGTCCACGTACAACGTTCACCGTATTTGTCCATTTCCTTTTTTTCATCTATCTCTTAAATCTTCTGCAACTTCGAATATTCTTTGGCCCCCCATCACAATTAAATAATAATAAAATTATAATAAGTTTTTGAAAATAATTTTAATAATAATGCCTTCAAATTTTAATAATAATAATAATAATGTGAAATGTGGTCCTGAGAAGGTGAGGGTAAAGTTATTAGTGGTCAACTGAAGGACACAATAGCCTTGTCCAAATGGAGGTTAAACTGTAATTTAGCGTAGGCTTAGCTCAATAACAAAATCAAGTTGAAGTGTGTATGGGAGAGTGACACATTAGATTTTGAGACAAAAGAGAGCAACCTTTGACTAAAAAGACTCCATTCTTACATTTTACTTATTTTTACTACTTCCCCTATGTGGTTTATTACGGGATGAAAACCGGTAACTTTATTGGTTGCATTATACGGAGTACTCCCTCCGTCCCACTGTCTTTGTCCACTTACCTTTTGGCACACCATTCAATGCATTTCTTTAATCCATTTTATCTTGTAATTTGTATGTTAAAAAATTATAGAAATTATATATTAATAATCTATATGTTAAGACGAATCAAACAAGATCACACATGACTATTTTTAGGCTTACACATTGAGAGAATTTGATGAGTCAAAGTGCTTAGATGAACAGTTCCAAAAGTCAAAAGTGGACAAAGACAGTGGGACGAAGGTAGTATTTGATAATACTGCGAAGAAAACGTGTAAATGAAAAGAATTAGATGGAATTTTATCGTAAATTTAAATTGATATTTTATCTAATTTTAGAGTAACATTGTAACTTTTTTTCCATCTAAAATCTAAATCCCAAGGGAAAAAAATATCCACCTTATTCTCAAAATTGTTTCAAGTCTATGCAGTTTATAATAATAATAATAATAACAGTAATAATCTTTGGTCCATTTGGTTTTAAAAAAAAAAAAAGAAAAAAAATGCTCGGTAAAAATACAGTGACTAAAATAACCTTTAAAAAAAACTGCCGTGTTTGGAGAGGAAGAGGAGGNAAAACAGGGGAAATAAAAAAAAAAAAAGAAAACATGGATAGATAGATAGATACCTGGTTGAGGCAAACAGGGAAATCATCATCATGATGGTGTTGGGAATGCACCAATTTTTGAGAACCAGTGGAAGCTCTCCTTCTATGAACACTTCCCACTCTTCTCCTTTCCATGCCCTCCTATATATATACCCACAACCAAACACATCAACATACCTCACCAATTTATAAAACTTATCTCTTTTCATAATGTTAAACAAAAAAAACACAAATAATAAGGGTCAACTCCCCCACCCACCCACCTGAGAAACAGGACTATGATCCTCCTCATTTCCTCTACTACTATTACAACAATGATGTGAAGAAGCAGTATTAACCCCATTGATCTCCCACAAAGTGAACCCCAATCTTCGGGCCGAAACCGAAAAACCTCTGCTCAAATCACCCCCACAATGCGCGTCAAAACACTCGTTTTTCAACGAAATTGGAGGTGAGGGTCTTGAAGCGTCATCGTCGCCCACCTTCCTCCTCATCATCATCATCAAAACCCGCGGGGTGCCCCCTTCTCTCCGCCCCACCAAACCCGTCCTTTTTAGCCTGTAACCCCGCGCCAACGAAGAAGATGATGTTGATGATTCTCCCCTCTTCCTCACTTTGCAATTCCTTCCCCTCCTCTCTTCCCCATTACTATTATGCATTTTTTTGCCCCCCTCCCCTACAACCTATAGTCCATGAATATAATCCAATAATACTATGCCGCCAATTCAAAAGAGTCTCTAATATAAGTCATTCCAAAAGAAGCAGCAGCAGATCTATACACAAGAAGAAGGAATTTATGAAAGATAGAACTTGGGATCTTTTTGTTTTGGTTGATTTGTGTTCTTTTTTTTTTGTTTGTTTGAATTGATGTGGTGGGGGAATTGAATTGGAAAAAAAAAAGAAGGGTTGGCTTGGCTTGGCTTGTTTGTGCTTTATTACACACAGTCAAAAGAGAAGTAAGAAGAGAATAGAAACCCAGAAAAAAAGGGAAAAAAAAGGGAAAAAGAAGAAAAAGAAAAGAGAGAAATGAATGTTTGATGAAGGTACGTACCCTCAGCACTCTCCCCTTTGGTAATTGTAATTGGGTGTGCCTTATGGAAGATTTGGAGAGTGATGATTGGCATGCAATTTTGCGCTTAAAGTTTGTTTCCAACTCTCATAGAAAGAAGAGAGAGTTAAAGCTTCCATCGTATCGTTGGTCGTCGGTCTCTTCAACATAAATAAATGGCCATGGTGGACTCTATACCATCAATACTCCCTCCCTCCTATTTTGATTACAAAATGGGAATTACGGAATAAAATTTAACAATTTTGATATCATTTTATTTATGAATTGGTATATCAATAAGAAATACTAGCTTCGCTCCAGAGTATTTATTCACTTTCATTTTTATACACCATCCAATACACTTCTTTAATCCATTTTATCTTGTAATTTGTATATTAAAAAATTATAGAAATTATATATTAATAATCTATATGTTAAGACAAATCAAACAAGATCACACATGACTATATTTAGGCTTACACATTAAGAGAATTTGATGAGTCAAAGTGCTTAGATGAATAGTGCCAAAAGTCAAAACTGGACGAATACTCCGGGACGGAGGGAGTACATATTAAAAAATTATATCAAAAATTTGATAAGAATATTTTATTTTAGAGTAAATTCTATAATTGATCCTTTATAACAGGGGGTTTCCCTAATTAGTTCTCTATTATCAAATATTATCCAAATAGTCCTTCTTTTATGGGTATCTTTCCACAAATAGTCCTTTTTTGATCTTCTATCATGTTGGTGTTAATTTGAGGGCTAAAAGTGTAATTTCACAATAATAATATATCTTTTTTGTCATACACAATTTCAAAGGTTGTTTCATTTGCATCGTTTGTAAATTACAGTCGCTTTCTACAACAACCATAAACTACAAATATGGTCTTTCGTCAGAATCCTAGTCCACAACCATAGTCATTATTTTTGTGTTATCCGCTTAACTAATATCAGAACACGATACTAAACATAATGTTGATGTCAAATTATACTTTTAGCCTTTAAATTAACACCAACATGACAGAAGATAAAAAAATCATTTGTGGAAAGGTACCCTTAAAAAAAGGACTACGGGGGTAATATTTGATGATAGAGGACTAAATATGGAAACCCCTACATTATAAAGGACCAATTATGGAATTTACTCTTTATTTTATCAAATAATCAATGAAAATACACATATAAATAAAAGTTTTTGAAAAAAGAAAATAAAATTGTAATAAAAATAGAGAAAAAGAAAGTATATGATTGGAAAAAATAATAATACTCCCTGATAATTATACTCCTAACTCTGGTAAGAGCACTGAGTATACTCCTAACGCCGACCTGCGTTATGGTGATTTTCACGCCCAGGGGGCATTAAACACCGCCCCCCTGCGACTTCATCCCGGCGTCAGCACGCACGCGTCAAACGAATGACGCCGTAATCCCCCCCCTAATGGCTATTATAGCCGTTGAAACAAAAAAATTAAATTATTTTTTTTTATAAATTTCAAACTCCTCCCCCTCCAATCTTCAATCTTCTTCACATATTCAATCTTCAATCTTCTTCAATCTTCTTCAATCTTCTCACACATGTTAGCCTTGGTATGCTTAATCTCATGTTTTGATGTTAACAAATAATTTAATTAAGCTAACGTTTGTTCAATTGTGTAGGAAGGACAAAATCCACTAAAACGCGTTGATTGCGTCAATACGTTCGCTCACACAGGACTAGCATATAATAGCTTAGAGTCATTTGTTGTTAAAGATATTTGAATGATATATCTCTAAGCTCAAGCTAAAATTTGCACACACACAAAAAAAGTTTTTTACTTGGGTATTTATTCTTAAAATACATTTGGTAAATATTTTCGAAAAATATTTTTTTCAAAATATTTAACTAAAGTTATAACTCTTCTCAATACTAGATCACAGTTTCTTGAATTACTCAATTCTAATTAGTATTGAAAAAGTTATTAACATTTTACCAAATTTATTTTAAAATTGTGCACTCAGTAACGAACGGTCGATGTGGTGAATCGTTACTCTCAAACGGTCGACCGTCCTACTGACCGTTGGAGGAATCTGAACGTTACCCCGAACGGTCGACCGTTTGGACTGAAACGGTCGATGTGATGGACTGTTCGGTGACCAGATTCTTTATTTCTTGTCTTTTTCACACCCAACGGTTGGATTATTTTAATTATGGTATTAGGAGTTAATTATTCTTCTCTAACAGCTATTTTTCAATTTCAAACAACTCCTAATCCATTCCTATAAATACCTAAACCATTTCAATGTTTTTTAATCAATCAAGCCTTGCTAAAATCTCTAAATTCTTTCTTTTTGTGTTCATAAAAATCTCTGATTTTTATTAGGCTATTAAAAGAGCCATTTCTCTAATAATTTTTGTTGAACACACATTAAACTTGATTCAAGAGATATACACTTATATTATCTATAAGAGAATTGTAATTGTTAGAGTGTATAGAAATCATCACACCAACCCAACCTTGTATTTCCTATTCTTGAGGTGGTGTTGATTCATTCAATTTCTCATATCATTGTAATACGTTGAAGATATCCGTTGTAAAATCTTCATTAAAACGGTTGGAGATAGCCGTGGTGAAATCTCTGGAAGCGGTCAAGGACATCCGTGAAATCCTTGTTGAAACGGTTGGAGATAGCCGTTGCAAATCCCTTGGTTGAAGACATCCTGAAAATCTTCGGTGTACGGTTGGGGATAGCCGTTGGAAAATCCTCAAACTAGTTGGATACTTCAAGGCGTGAAGTATTGTCGATCTAGTATAAACCTATTGGCAAAGGTTTGTTTGCCAAAGACTGGTTCCCTCGTGACGATCGTATTGAGACGGTCAAGGCATTCTAGTGGATTGAAAATCCTTAAGGAGGAGCCTTAAGGTACTGGAGTAGGGAGTTCCCGAACCAGTATAAAATCAGTGTGCATTTACTTTACGCTTTTACTTTTGCATTTTTATATTGCTTCCGCATTTGCCTACACCGTTTTTATTAAACTCCAAAAAGTTTTTAAACGCCTTATTCACCCCCCTCTAAGGCGTGGGCACAACGAATAAACCGACTAACAACACCTTCAATCTTCTTCACATATTCTTCAATTCTCCAATTCTCCAACTCTCTTTTGAACATGAATCCTTCCGGCTTCGGCTTCTTCCCCGACGATCTCGAGCCTCACGAGTCCACGATGTAGTATTTCCAACAATACGGAAATCATCCACCGGTGTTCAAGACACAACAATCAGAGTACGTCGAGCGAGATTCGGTTCTGGAGACTTAACCTGGACCATCCGACACCAAAAAATATGCACGCCAGAAGAGCCACAAAGCGAAAGGCACGATGACTGAGGCGGCACGGTCAATCTAAAAGTGGAAGCTGGAGGAAGAGTGCTTATTAGCGTCGGCTTGGGTTGACGTCTCCGAGCATCCTATCGTTGGTAAAAATTATATGTTTTCTAATATATTTATGATTTTATTTATATAAAATTATATATAATCGTGTCATAAAAAAATTGCGTGTAATACTTTCTTAAAGGTTCGGAGCAAACGAAGAATGTGATGTGGGATTGTATTGAGGAGAAGTTCTTCACGGCGATGAACAAGGACGGCTCCTACCGTACCCGGGACCAACTGACTTCCTTCCAAATGGAGCCACATCAAACGTAAAGTCCGAAAGTTTATCGGAGTTTACGAGGAATGCGCCCAGTCTCGGAGGAGCAGGACGAACGACGCCGATGTTCTCCGACTTGCCACAACCCGGTATCAAGATGACGGGCACCAAGGCAATGTGCCCATCGATCTTTGGAGGATTTTGAGTCATTCCCCGAAGTGGCAACAACTCAACAATCCCGACGGCGGATCGTCAAAGAAAAATCCTCCGTCGACGTTGAGGTTAAGGTCGACGACACTATCGGTTCGTCCGAACAAATGTCTCCCTTCAACGTTGCGGATTCCTATGACGAGGACCCCATTCTACGGCCGATTCTGAATTTTTTCAATGCAATATATTTTTCAGAATCAAGTGAATATATTTCTAACACGATTTTTAATCAATAGACAACAACGCTAAAGTAGAATATATAAATTTTGGACCATGCTACATTTACACCAAAACTTGTACCCCATTTGTACACCGCAGTTATACACAAACATTTTGATGGTTTACACTGACACAAATGTTGGTGCGTTAACAAAAATTTACACGGATACAAAGTGTTGGTGCGTTAACAAAAATTAGCTTTACACCAACACAGAATATTGGTGCAAATCTGCGGGGTACAAAATGGGGTACAAAAGATTGGGGTACAAGTAGCATTATCCATAATTTTTGGAGAATTAAAAGTGTACTCAAGAAAGTCATTTTAATTCGAATTTTTCTAAACGACTCCAGGGTGCATACCATCTTTGGTATGGTTGTAAAGGTTTCGTTGTCATCTATAACTAATATTTTTAATCATGTCTTTACTTTCACTCGTGAAACATTAACATAAAATTGACCATGAGTTAATACCAAATTAGCTAAAAATAATACCCTTGAGTATTAAAATTAAAAGATTATGTTTGACATTGACTTTTGTTAATAGTCATCGCAAAACATAAGACAACTGAAAATTATTTTCTTTAGAACTTTAGGGGGTAGTCCTGAATCAGCTCGTACCAAAATTCTTTTGGGGGATGTAAACCTCTTTTTTGCCAACTCGATTTTCTAAAACCACAATTGCATCGATAATGTTCTTTTGCAGCTCTTCAACAATTAATCTTCTACAATTACACAATCTAGATTTTTGGTCAATATTCTTCAATAACATATTTCGTACCCCTTTTTTAAAATTATTTTTCGGTTTTGGATCCACGAACATTTGATGTCATTAAAAAAACTAACTATTATCCAATCATCTTCAATACCTACATTTGAATATGCTTGGCATGAAAAATCTGAACTTAAGTATTCTTTATCACCTCTTAGAATAAGGGATTGGACAACTTCATTTTTCATTCAACAACCTCGAGTGCGGGTGCAAATGGTGAACTACTTTAAAAAAGATGAATTTTTCATGTTCTCTAATAGATTTGGATAAGTGAAGTCCACTATACTTGTGTCAAGAATCA